CAAAAATGACTCCAAGATTCCTCACAGTGTTACTGGGTATTATACTGACATTATCGAGAGTAACCATCTGGTTAGTGAGGGAGTCACGCAGGCGCTTCGGACCGAGTAGGATCACTTCTGTCTTCTCCGGGTTGAGAAGTAGGAAGTTAAGAGTCATCCACATTTTAAGGTCCTTTATGCAGGCACTGAGCTTTTCTAGCTGATCTGTCTGATTAGGCTTCATCGACAGATAAAGCTGTGTGTCATCTGCATAGCAGTGGAAATTAATTCCATGCTTTTTAATAATGTTTCCCAGTGGCAGCATGTAGAGAGTAAAAAGAATCGGTCCGAGTACCGAACCCTGCGGCACACCGAATTCCACTCCAGAATAAGGCGACGAGTCCTGATTCACATTGACGAAGTGATATCGATCTGATAAATAGGATTTAAACCAGCGAAGGGCTGTTCCTCTAAGACCTATATCACATTCTAGCCTCTGCAGTAGAATGCTGTGGTCTATTGTGTCAAATGCAGCACTAAGGTCCAGTAGGACCAGCACTGACACTTGTCCATTATCGGCAGCTAGTAGTAAGTAATTTGTGACTTTGACTAGTGCCGTTTCAGTGCTATGATGAGCTCTGAATCCTGATTGAAAGACTTCAAACATATCATTTTCCTGCAGGTGGCAGCGGAGCTGCTCAGCTATAAGTTTTTCCAGGATTTTAGATATAAAAGTGAGGTTCGAGATCGGTCTGTAGTTTGTAAGTATTTCTGGGTCCAGGTTTGTTTTCTTCAGAAGGGGTTTGATTACCGCGGTTTTAAAAGCTTGTGGGACATAGCCACATTGTATGGATGCGTTTATTATATTTACGATAGGCTCAATTATCAAAGGAAGTATGTCTTTGAAGAGCCATGTCGGGACTGCGTCTAACATGCAAGTTGAGGCTTTTGAGGATGTGACCACAGAGATCACCTCTGCTTGGCTCACAGCCATGAATTTATTAAGGCCCACTGAAGAGTCTAAGTGGGAAGTCACGTATGCCGCTTCAACCTGTCCACCACTAACAGCAGGAGCAACCTCCTCCAGCTTGTCACGATTGCATTTGAAATGCAATACAAAATGCTGCAGTTTGGTTAAAAACAATCCCACATGCCCATGACCCCTCCACCCTACCACCCAACAGACCCGTTATTATTATTAGGTACATACTGTATACACACGCACACACACACACACACAAAAATCACATCGTAAAATAGAAGAAAACAAAAAAAGGTGTCATTATTGATAGTTGATGTGCAACCGTAGACTGTATTTAAACTGATAATGCTAACCCGTTAGCTCAACAAGGCTCACAACGGATCGGCGGCAACTCGCTCTGGCTCCGTTTTAGTGCCTCTATGATCCTGCTGTTTTTAGTTGAATGTTATCTTTGTAAATCCAGATATGAGCCATAATTGTTGACTAGTTAATCAAAAAAAAAGCTGAGGACTTAGCAACCATGTTAGCAACACTTTTGTTAGCATCTGCCCCTGCTACGGCGCATAGGTAGGTATATATGTTAGACAATACAATGGGTAAATTGTATTGTTTTCAAATGTTTTTAATCTATTTTTTTGATTAACCGAAGTACTTTTGCATGGGGCTTTATCCTAACTACCGGATGACAGTATCTAAGAATGTCAACTTTGGGGCAATGCCAAACAGCAGAACAACAGTTGGAACGTCCTTCAGAATGAACACCTAGCAGAGTGACCACCCTTTGATAATCGGAGACCTTTTTGAACCTGACCGGGTCATGGATTGTCCGCAATCACTGTTAAGAAAGAGCAGATGATGCATATTTCAAAAGCTTTATAATTAACCCAGACCCCTCCGACCTCACGCCAACAATCAGCAGCCATGTGTTCAAGCAGTCAACTGAAATGATTGATGTTAAAGTAGCAGGAGAAGGCTGTAAGGAGATAGTTGCGTGTTGTCAGTTACAAATTCCCTGTTATCAGGAAAATAATTAATGCAACAGAAGAACTAACCCTAACAGAAACAGTGGAGGTCAAAGCGAGGTGAGGACCAAGACACAAATGATAGAAAACAGAATCAGAATCAATTTATTGCCATTTGCAGAAAACTACATAGAAATACAAACAGGAGACACCGGGGGCACCAACACCACAAAGCACACACACACAAACACACTCTTAAAAGCATAATAAAAAGCTACGAAGAGCTACAAAAAGAAGCAGATCTCACGGCGCTCTGTTCAGTCTTAAAATCGCCTGAGGGAGAAGCTAAGAATTGTAAGAAAAGAAAGTCTGGAGACCCTGGACTAATGGTCACTGTTTAACAATCAAGAAATACATGCACATGGAAGGGACATTTGGACGTCCTCCCACAAAATTCAGCTTTCAAAGTATATTGGAAAAAAGTCTATTGGTAAGAAGTCTTGTGGAGCATGAGTCTGAATCGAACTCTTTGGCCTGAATTGGCAAAGGGACTTTTGGAAAAGAAGGGGCACATAATGAAATGTTAATGATGTTTTGGATCCATCATGCTTTAGGGTTGTGTTGCAGCCAGAGGCACAGGGAGAACAGGTGAGAGATAACTTCTACAAATAATGATCCTAAACTATTTGCACAATGGTTTCCACGAAGAAGCACTAACAGATTTAAATTCAGTTTATTTTCCATTCGCAATTACTCCAACCACTTTGAAATTATTGCGCGAAAGGTCCCAGTGTGCACCAAAGACTGAAAAAACACCGCCATTTTTTTGTTGAGTGGTAACAGTTTGTGGGACAGAAACAATATTCATCTCAAGGGTTAGGGATACATCCTCCCAGAGAGAAGAAGCTGGAACATGGCTTTCTTGAGTTGGTCAGAAGGATCAATGATCATTTGAAGAGCGCAATTTAAAAGTCTGGATTCATAGAAAGCCTCCAGAACAGGCAGCTCACAGTCCTTTTAGCAGAGTGGACCACCTTGTTTAGAGCTCTCCTGTCTTTGGCTGTGATGTTTCTGCGTCACAGCGTCATAGAACCAACAAGCAGATATTTTGTGGTGCAGCAATAAAAGTTAAGCAGGAAAGTGAAGTTGATTGATAGCGACAGTGGCTCAGTTGGAGAGCATTGGCCTTTGACCCTGAAGGTTGTGGGTTCGAGTCCACCACAAGACCTACTTCACGACTCCCACTGATGACTGCTGTCGTGTCCTTGGGCTAGACACTTAACTCCACTTTGCCTGAAGCCCCCATTGAATAACCAAGGCTCCTGTGGACTCACCACCTGCAGGAGGTTCAGTGAGGGGCTGGTGCTCTCACTGACCCCCCCCCCCACCCAGAAATGGATTAAGGGGAAGAAAATGGATGGATGGAAGGACAAGATTTCCTGAGAATGCGATTTGGGTTTTTTCTCTCCCTCTGAAAAGGAAGACTTGTCCCTCCGACTAAAAGACCCTTAGTTTAGTTAAACACTTTATTGATCCCCGTAGGAGAAATTCAGGTGTTTGGGCGCAGCTAAAACACATCCATCCACACAAACAAAACAAAGAAATCGGATCATTCTAAAATGCTAACCATAGTAATAGTAAAAATGTATGGCAGGGATAGCGGAGCATCTGAATGGAGCAGGACAGGTCAGCATTTTATTCGTTTTCTGATTTTTCAGTGAGCAAAGCCATGTACGCCGAGACTGTTACCCCGACCTCACATTAAAGGCGGACCGCATAATCCACTGAAAGAACTACTACAGGGAGTCACTGTGTCTAATTAACAGTTCTTCCGAAAGTGAAGGATTATATGTTTATGTTTATTCCATCAAAGACAATCTAATACTCTTACTTAACACTACTACAGCTCTGTGGTGCTGGGAGGTGATGAGGAAAGCGGCTTAGCATAGTGCAAAGTTCACTAGTGAAAGCTTAGCGTGTTGGTTGGGACTTGAATTTGATAATGCCACTGTGAACACAAGTCAGAGGAACCGTGCTTTGATCGTCGAATTTTGGCTTTGGTGCTTGCTGTTACGACAATTCAATTCAATATATTTTTGTTTAACCCTAAATCAGTTATTATTATTATTATTATTATTACTATTATAAACAGTTATTTCGGAGCACTTTACACAGTTGTCAATTCGCCAGCACAGATCAGAGAATAAAATTGTTCAAACACAGCAAATGCATTGCTAAAAAACACATATAGTCATTGGTCTGTAACGGGCAGATGACCAATGTCCATAAATGTCCTTAAACGTCCTGGATCATCACCGCTGCCTTTAGCTCCTCCATCAGCATGTGTTGAAGCCTTCACGCTCACAGAGAGAACAAGAATACAGATGGCTTCTCCATATAATGACCCCAAACAATTTACAAAATAGACCATGGATTCCAAAAAGAACCACAAACAGATTCCAATTCAGTTTATTTGTTTCAATTATTCCAACCACAATCCCAACTAGGATTATCTGGACAGCAGACAATCCCAGTTTAGTCCCAATATGTCGATGCTCCACCACATGTATTGAACATCTTTTAATCCAAAATATAAATAAGTACTGCATAAATACTGAAAAATATGGGCAACATTTGAATTAAAAAAATACTAAGTAGAAAATCAATATTGTATCTAATGTTCTAATATCAATATTTATGGAAATATCAATTCCTTTTAAAGCAGGCTACTCCAAAATGTGACTTTCAAACTGTTTTGATCATTGTCCTAACCCCAACCATAAAATTATGAATAGATGTAAACTAAGAGTTTTTAGTTAAAATATTGCTCGCTGCATCTCTGTCCGTCTTCTCTGCCTAGCTTTCAAACTTTTAGTGGGTCTCTCAGTATGTTATTTTCTGATAGCAATGGTATGTAGCTGTGTAACTTTCTGAGAGCTTTCCACCTCAACAGGAATCAAAAACAATACATTCTTCTGATGTTTTGGCAATGTGTATTCTCTGTTACACTTCCCTGCTTCAGAGTTGTGTGCAGCAGCAGTAAAAAAACTATCTTCTTGTCCTCTTTGTGTGTGCAGAGGCCAAGTTCATCTCGGCTCACCCCATCTCCGACACGTACAATCCAGATGATGACAAGATCTATCTGTTCTTCCGTGAGGTGTCCAGCGAGGGCAGTGACCAGAGGGTGGTGTCCCGTGTGGCTCGGGTCTGCAAGGTGAGGGCCAGGAATCTTAAGCAGACTGCTACTTAAGGCGGCACAGCTCCATTCCTCACACAAGTATTTTGGCTCAAATGTATACAGAAAATACATTGCTTGCTTTTTTCACTATTAAGCTATTGCAACAAAGTCTTAGGCCCATGTACTCTAGTCAATGGTCTCTCACTGCGGCTATAACATGGAGTGTTCTATCATGTTAGAGAGGGTACTGAAATGTTTATGCAGTCTACCGGGTATATACACGGAGATATAGTAGAAGAAGAAGCGCTGTCAAAATGCCATCTTTTTGTGCGGTGTACGGTTGTAGCAACCGTGCAAATAGAAATAGACAAGAGTTTCTTCTGTGTTCCAACTGTGGTCTCATATAAAGGAGTACACTTTGAAAGGGCGAGGTGGATCAACTCTTTCCCAGATAAGCGCCCGCCTGGAGGACACCCAAATGAAACGCGGCAATTTCTTCTGTTTTTATTTCCAAAAATGCCCAAAATCAAGACTCTTTTGAGAAATATTTGTTAGTACTCCCTTAGAATTGAGTGTCCCCGTCCCGATTGAGACTCTTACAACAACTGTAGACCGCACAGGATGAGAGCCTTTTGACTCCAAAACAGACAAGATTTACATGGTTTTCAATGGGAGCAAAACTGAGTTGTCCCACCTCTGCTCATTCACCCCCTACTGGCCAGTTTAATGTAACCCAAGAAAACCAGGAGATTCAAACTGAGAGCAGACAAGACCCAGAACCAGAGCAACTTGGAACAATGAAAGGTCATGATTTTAAGAACATAGATAATGAATAAAACCTGTTGGTTCATATACAAAAAACAATAACTCAAAAGAAAAATAGTCACTGACGCAAAGGGTGAGCTATAAACAAACTCTCCACACAAAAACAGCAAAATATGAAAGACCTTGGTTTAAAACAGGGGTGTCAAACCGGTTCCAGAAAGGGCTGGAGGTGTTGCAGGTTTAGTTCTCGGTCTCTCGGCTTCTCTCATGTTCTTACACTATTACAAGCTTTAGAATATTTTTTTTGATTTTGAGTCTTCCACATTTCTGTGTTTCCTGCCGTGCATGTGTCACTCAATACACACCACACATTTGCAAGGTGAGGAGATGAAAGAGGTGTGCGCTGAGAGACAAACACTACACTGGTGATAAGAAGTTGGGTTCAGCATATGAAAGGCTGTTTTTAATGAGGAGGCCTGACTTGTACATGTCAGGAGCACTCCAGTAGATGTTTGACCCCACAGAGGAGTACCCATGGAGCAGAGTGGTGCTTCAGAGGCTGGAATGGCACTGGAGTTTAAAAGCAGTTCATTCCCAGGCTCCTAATAAAGCATTGCATACATTAACTGTATTGAACGGTTGTAAGATCCACATGCAGCTGGCTATGGGAGTCGACAGTGAGTTTACAAAGCAGAAGAATACAGAGAATGTTCAAATAAATGCGCTCTGGTCAGTGGGATTAACAAACCAGTGTGACTTGAGAGGCCTCTCAAGGCTCCAGATCCATCGTAACTTTTCCTTATTACTAAAACTTTGTAACTGTAATTGTAAATAAAATTGCTAACGTCCACACAAATGGATGGTAAGGGGGGCAACAGTGGCTTAGTTGGTTAATTGGCCTTGGTTGTGGGTTCAAGCCCTTCACAATGTCTTAAAAGCTGTATTATTCCTGTCCAATTTCACTTTTGCTTTGCCTAAGGGACCGCCTGCATCAATAAAAAGAATTGACCTCCAACATGTGGTTTTCCCAAACTTCAATTGGATTAAATTGGGTAGGGGGAGAATTCAGTTTTCAGCACTCATGCGAGGAGAGATTGATAGAAATTTGACCTGGTCTTTGATGGGATACAGTTAAACCATAATTTATATGCATTTGTGCAATATAAAGATAAGTGTCCATGTATTGCGGTCGGCATGTGAACCAGAATATTGGTAATGGGTGTGGTGAGCGACTGTTAGCTCCTGCGATATAGGGCTGGGGAGTACGAGAATCTTTGCGAGATTTCCGTCTGCAGATCCAGAAACAAACGTGTTGGTTGTAGACAAGTGAGTCAGCATCAAATTCAGGGCTTTAATAAGCTAGAACATGACTCAATCTATGTACACGCACCAAACATGTTTGGATATTAATGATTACATGTAATCCTACAACCTGATTTCACCACTAAAGCCATAATTTTCATAATCATTGAAACATCTAAACATTAATTTTAAATAGCTCTTAAATAGCTCTTAAAGTGTAAGAGGGGCCGTCAGTAAATAAGTGTATTGTTTCTTTGGTTGAAACAGTGCATGTTAATGAACACATCACCTTGGGCTACTATCAGTTATCAGTATGAAGATTATTGGTGGTAATATACATACAGTACAGTGTCAACTTGTGTTGACTGTACTTCTTATACTGTAAAAGCTTAATTAATATATTATCATGCCTTTCAATCATTATGGCTCGAGACATTTTTTCTCCTGAATAAAAACATTCCAAGTGGACTGCAGTTCTCTTGCTTCTGCCCCATCTCCTTTTGAATTTCACTCCTTCATAATTTCCCAAAGTGCACTGCTGCCTGGCAAAGAATGTTTCAACAACCTTTCAAACACCAACAGCCGCCTGCTAGTCCCATTTTCAGATGACATATCCCCTTCATCCACAGTCCCCTATACACCCAGCACTGATCCTTCCACAGCAGAGGCACTATTATAACCAAGCTTCTTCCTGGAGAATTTATTGGTCTATGAAACTGGATATTGTTCAAACACTCCATCGCAAAGACTAATAAAGGTGAAGTTAAGAGGATTGTGTGTGTAAAAAGCAGGCGGTAGCGTACGCAGGCTTTGATGGAAGTAGTGCGCAGTGTTAAAACAGGATTTATGGGAGAGACTAGTAGGCTTACTGTGCTTTCTGAAGTCTACAAAGAAAGAATGCACATGGAAAGGCGCCTCCTAGTGGATGTAGTGGTCATTGGAACGAACCAGGGGAATGGTCAGTTCTTTCCAGGGCAGCTGTGGCTCCTGTAGTAGTTAGCACCAAAGTGTATAGACTATTCATTAAATAAATATTCCTTAGCTTATAGTGAAAATTGTGTGTTCAAATCTTTCTTTAATCATCAACTTTCACACGAAGAGGAGCTCAATAGAATTTAAATCTGGAAAGAGTACAAGACACAAAATGCATTTGAACGTTTTATTCATTGATAGTTTGACATCCTAGGCCCCGGTAGCTGCAGTTGGTCCATGGAGCTCCTTGATTGTGCGCGCTTAAGATCCCACAATAGAACAAACAAGCGTTGGAAGTTGAATGGTGGGAAGGCGGTTGTTGCGAGGCTTGAGAGGTCTGTGGTATGAGAGTTTCCGCTTTTAAACTGCTGGCTTGGCTGGCATAGGTCGGCAGGGAATGGGATTTGCTGTGCGATAGGCCGAAGGTGAGAAGGATGGGCTGCAGGAGGTAGTCAAACGGAGCTGCATCTTTCTCCCACACTACAGTTGGTGGAGTCTGAACCCTGCATACATGTAATCATCACAGCTTTAAGTTTGTGTGTTTGTGTGTTTCAGAATGACGTAGGCGGGCTGCGCAGTCTGACCCATAAGTGGACCACGTTCCTGAAGGCCCGCCTAGTCTGCTCTGTACCAGGGGAAGACGGAGTGGACACACACTTCGACATGCTGCGTGAGTGACCGGGCCACAAAGAAAAACACATTCACATGCACAAAACAATGTAATTCAAAGCAAAGTGAACCAGTGAGTCGTTTACACCTGATGCTACTGTGACGTACAGTTATGCCCTGTTCACACCGGTAAGTTCTGTGCGTCAGCTTCATGTGCGAGGGCTGTGGCGACAGGAAGTAGAGGAAAACACTTTTTAAAGAATCCAAATCAACTCTGGACAAGGTTTGAAGCCGTCTGTACTGACTGCGGACTGACTACATACGTGTTCATAATGTCTTCAAAAAAATGTCCTCTATTAACGTTGTGCAAGGAGAGCCATGAATGAAGCAAGTGACGGTGCTTCATTCCATGGTCATCTAAAGCAGCGTTCGCCAACCTTTTTAGTCCTACGGATCGGTGTAACGTCAGGCAAAAATTGCACAACCCGTCACTCAAACGCAATATTTCAGCGCTGTCATGTGACCAAGACGTAAGAAAAGAATCTGGTAATTTTTCAAAATAAAATTTTGTTCAGTGATAATAAATAGGAAATTATGTATTCTTTCTTTGGTGGCCCGGTTTGAATGTCCAATGGCCCTGTCCTGGTCCGCGGACCAGGGCTTGGGGACTACTGATGTAAAGTATGATACGGTTTCACAACTGCACTGTATGAGACCCATATTTCCATCACACAAATGCCAAGTATAATGTGTGTGTTATAATATAAAAAACATTATTTGTGTTTTTTTCACCAAAATCTTACCATTTTGTCAGATTAATGGATCAATACAGCCCTAAGGAAAGGGATCACTGCTAAAATTATGTTCTTGGCCTCTTCGCCGGTTGTTCAATACAGTAGTTTTTGTTCAAAATATATCATGATCCATAAAAAGCTTAACTTCTTCAATAACACTCAATACAATTCTTTTTCAATTATTTTTGTTTGATTGTGTAGAGGACGTCTTCATGCTCCCAAGTAGAGACCAAAGGAACCCCAAAGTGTACGCGGTCTTCACCACCTCCAGGTATTACAAACATAATCTCCTGTTGCCATCATCAGTGTGACATCAGCCTTTGCCTTTGCCCCACAGTTCCTTGTTCCCCGGCTCTGCAGTCTGTGTGTACAACATGGCCGACATCCGGGCAGTGTTCAACGGGCCCTACGCGCACAAGGAAGGCCCCGACTACAGATGGGTGGAGTACGAGGGCCGCATCCCCTACCCCCGGCCTGGGACGGTACGCACACAAATATTGTTTTTAAAGAGGACATATTGTGGTAAAATAATTTCTATAAGCCTATGACTGTAATACGTGTTTCTCCTTTTTTTCACAAACGCTCTATTTAGACTGATTTATGCCTGTTTGAGTAATCTTTATTCAGTTGTATTCAAGTAGACACAGTACTTACTTATTTAACCTTTGTGAAATGTTCCCAGTGCTCGTAGTAAATTAAGTTAGAGCCACTTTCTGTCATTTTTACTAAAGGGAGTTGAGTGGCTGCTCTAACTAAATAGGAGCTGTTCTATATTAGGGGCGAATTGGGGTCCTGCTCATGTCCAATGAAGCAATCAAAAACTGTTCAAGGGTTAGAACGCAAATGTATATATTTTCTCATTGTTTTCCTCTATATAGGCAGGCCATTAGAAAAAAAAGAAATGTTCAATGTTTTCTCTTTCAGCGAGTGTTATGGCAATAGCAGTTTAATTTAGCATGAATGGAAGTATTCATAACAACTTGACTGACTGAAATGTAATATTGCACACAGATGTGAAGCCCACATGAAGTCTGATTGAATGATTACTCTGCTTGGTTTACATTAGAATGAAGAGGTTTAGAGAATGTCACGCTGCAGCTGTGGTTTAAAGCCTAGTTGTGTAAACGTCTGCAGTATGTGAGTGGAGACAGCAGCATTCACAAATGTATGAGCTGCAATGTGACCAGCTGCCACCAGAGGGCGACACACACTGGGCTTTGGCTATACAGCAGCAGGTTAAGTCAGTCTGTGGGCACTTTCTGTGGCGAATGAATGCACAATAACAAAATGTGTGGGTGGGTGTATCTCGACATATCCATTATGAGGATTCCATAGTAATATAAAGTTAAATGACATTTTATAAGATTAAAGAATTATTACCATGTAAACAATAAGTAGTGTGTGTAGAACACCTTCTGATTAGTGGAAAAGCAAGCCTAGTCAAATGGTTTGACGGTTTTTAGTGCCTAAAAAGTGTTTCCAGTTATAAAACTACACATATTATACAAAGTAGTCTTTTTTGTATTTCACCACATTACAACATGTTATATGTTTTGTCTCCAACATAGTTTTAGAAATTTTTTGCAGTGATTATGACCATTTGTTTGTATTTGCCACATGCAATGACCTACTTCTCTGGTGGTAAGAGTGGGTAATTAAATCCTGTTTATCCTTCCAATGGATGTTTGGTGCATTAAAAGCACTTGAGATGCTTTAACATTGCAATGAAAACCGTTTAATCTGGAAAGACTTACCATACCATATTATAATGACTTTATTGAGTTCAATCAACCAAATAAAATTTGATTTATGGATTGCTTTTAGTTGAAAAAAAAAATGCAATTCAAAGTGCTTTACATTTTGTCAATAAACAATCCCACATGTCCATGAACCGTCAACATGGCCTCTCATCAGACCCAGCCCAAACCACACATAAAGTATAATATTTAAAACATGCGCGCACACACACATTCACGCACGCACACAAACACACCAAATAGATATGAAAAAAGTAAAACAATATAGGGCGTGGTGCCGGAGTAGCCAGCTGAAGAAGCGTCATCCAAGTTAGGTTTAAATGACATATTTGTGTTCCTGCATGATGAGACTGCAGATGTATTGTATGGTATGAAATTATATTGTGGTACTTTACATGTTGGATATAGCTTTGCCGATTAGCCGGCGGTGGGGAGGAGGCGGGTTTTAGCATGTGCATACACTTTTTTGCGCAGAATAGAGAGGCACTGGAAATACATATTTCAGTCTGATCCTTCACTTTAGTTCCATCAGTGGATGTGAAGTGCATAAAAACCCTTGTGAATGTACACAAATGCTTTATGAATTAAATACCCAAAGAAAATGTTTCATTATCATGTTTAGGGGTCAAAAATAATGCATAGAAATAATTTTTTAAAGAACACATACAGTCAAATAAAGTTAAATACATTTTCCCATTTCTTTCACACATTGTTGTCTTCCCATGATTTCTGCATGTCCTACATCATCTGTCAGATATTGCTTTTTTGATACCTTGATTATGTTATTCTATCCTCCTGTGTCCTCCAGTGTCCCAGTGCCACGTACGACCTGCGCATCAAGAGCACCAAGGACTTCCCGGACGAGGTGGTGGCCTTCATGCGTCTGCACCCGCTCATGCAGCGCACTGTGGCACCTGTAGGGGGCAGGCCTGTGTTCACACGACTGCGCGCAGACTACACCCTCACACATATAAGGGTGCACAGGGTGTCGGCGGAGGACGGGCACTACGAGGTCATGTTCCTGGGCACGGGTGAGCTGCTGCTATGGACCACCAGGGGGAGACGGATGACTGCTGCTGCGTTCTGTTTGGAGACTGGGATTATGTTTATTTAACTGTCATCTAGTGCTCATTTACTCTGAGATTATTTCATGAGGACATTATTGTATTTAACTCTAGAACAAGTTTATTCTGAGAGGCACTTTGCATACAGCAGTTTGAGTGATGCTTTTGCACATGTGTTGCAGACGTGGGCTTGCTGCTCAAAGTGGTGTCCCTCTCTCAGGAGAGCTGGGCCCCAGAGGAGCTGATCCTGGAGGAGCTGCAGGTCTTCCAGGTGAGGCCAGGCTTGGACTAAAACCGCTTCAGTTAAAGCTGGAGTGCCAAACTGAATACACTTTAATTCATAGTAAACATTGACAGAGACTATATCACAAAGCACAAAGAACAGATTCATTACATTCATGTTTTATCAGCGCTGGTTTTAATGTTCTAAATGTACTATTTGTTACCAATGTAGAAATCTTTATCACATGGTTTTCTAATAATATTAATGTAATTGTCTTTTCATTGCAGACTCCCAGCCCCATCCTGAGCATGGAGATATCTTCTAAGCAGGTTTGACATCTTATTTAGTCACTTCTTATGCACACACGCACGCACGCACACGTACGCACACATACACGCACACACACACACACACAAACACAAACACACACACACAAATTCTTGGGTCCGGCTGCTGCTCCAGACCCTTGTTAACTGCAGACAAGCCTCAGCACATGTGTGAAAGACATTTATTCACATTCCTGACATCATCCTCTGACATACAAGCTGCATTTCCCCTTTAACCCTGTGCATGTGTCTCACCTGTGCATAATGAGTGCTTCTGCCTAGTACAGAAGGGAGAGCAGTCACAGTCAGGCGGAAACAGCCACTTTAAGAATTTTTGTTTAATTTCTATTTTGATTTAAAGTGATGTGTGCATCATTCTACTGCAGTTAAAAACTTTAACCTCCAACCAGCCACTTGTTCATCTCTTACTGTAGTTGTTTTATATTTAAAAAAAAGAAAAAAAAATGTCTTTAGAATTATTCAGAAGCAGAGTGAAGGAATTTTGGCCCTAATGAACTTTGCCCTCCAACAATGTCGCCTGAAAGATGGCACAAAGCATGCTTTAATCTTTCTTTTTTGAGGGTGTTAAATTCCAAACACACAACAATTAATTTCCATTATTTACGAGTAGCAAAAATCACAATAACCACACACACCACATCAGCAGCAGCAGCACAGAGATGACACACGTCAAACACACACGGCTCTGGTCCTTAGTACTGTCCAGTCTTCAGGACTGTCCTCTCTGCTCTGGGTCCAGGGACAATAGTGTTCATAAATAAGTATCCAAAGTCCAGGCCAGATTTAATTACATGAATTAATACATATGGTAGTTTTCTTGAGGAAATTAGTTTTACAAAGAAGTATATCATGCCCTCGTAGCTCATTACCATCAATGCAGCAACTTAATATCATAATTTAAAATCATGTCAGAGGTGGTCTTGCGGCCCAGAGTTTGACATGTCTGCAATAGAGAATATATGACATTTTTACATCCTGGTCTTGAGCACTCCCCAAGGCTAACATGCGTGCGCCCTTCCCCCTGTAGCAGGTGCTGTTCGTGGGCTCCGCTGTGGGCCTGGCGCGAGTCTCCATGAGCCGCTGTGAGGCGTACGGTAAAGCCTGTGCCGAGTGCTGCCTGGCCCGGGACCCCTACTGCGCCTGGGACGGTCACACCTGCGCACGCTACGTCCCCGCGGCCAAGAGGTAACGCACGTTATAAACTGACTTTTAAAGCTGGGGCACATAACTTTCAAACTTGTTTTGTTTTGTCTGTTTACTTATTTTCTTCATGTGAGATACATTTTACAGCATAACACAAGCATTTTGGCACAAAATATCTGCCAATATTGAGTTTTCAAATGTTCTACTACAGGTGTCGTTGGGGATTACACCAATAATGTAAGCTGCATTAAACCTGTTTATGGGATGTTACTATAAGCACACAATTATATTTAATCAAAGACGTATACATCAACCGAGTAAAAAAAATAAAAAAGTCCTCAGTGGTTCTATTAATTAACCACAACATTTCCAAAACTGTGATTTTTTTTGTTTCCTTTATGTATAAATGGTGTGTGTGTGTGTGTATACTGTGTATATACATATATGCATATATATAAATAATAAAATGCTCTCGTCATTACAGACGCGCTAGACGCCAGGACATTAAAAACGGAGACCCTGCCACTCAGTGCTGGGACACAGAGGACCGTAAGTTTCTTGTGCTTTTATTTACATGTTATCAGTTTAATATGTTAATAGAAACAACTTGCAAATTGGTCCTTTTTCACACAAAGTGTCCCCCATTGTCAGTCCGGGTTTAATCTTGGTTTAGTCCTGGTTTAGCTCCTGTTTTGGCTCTTTTAGAGTATCTTGTGTCCCTGTGACGGCTCAGTGCTTCCAGAGGAAAAAGTTCATCTCTTGATTTTGTCGCATACATCGAGTCGCTTTGCCCACTGCCTCTGCCACGGCGCACATGCTATTCCTCGCACGCACGTGCATAACTATTGACACTGTATTGACACGAAGAATTCAATAGATTCATAGACGCTACGAATGGTGCGGTGGTTTTTTTGCATTTCCCAGAATGTTTTGCGGTTCATGCTTGGCCGTGATAGGTCGAGAAGCCTCTGCCTACATCCCCCAGAATGTTGCGCGCTTCTGACTCGGCTTTACTTCCTTTGTTTTCTTCCTGTTTTTTCTAACGAAGTGAAGTTAAACTATCGAACATTCTATCGACCCCATTTTCTATTGATATCAAACATGTGTCTATCGCGATATATATCGTTATCATTTTATCACCCAGCCCTAGTTCATGGGCAACTTTATTTCACAGTTTTCAGTTCACAATCCTCTCCAGATGAAAATAATAAACATAAATGTTCAGTAACAACAACAAATTAGTCATTACAAAAAGTTCATACACATTAAGAGCACAAAGAGGTTGCAGCGCTCATGCTAAAAATTCAAAGAGTTCCACAGTTTTGGAGCAGTCACAGACAACGCTCTGGTTCTCAGTCTGGACCTGGGACAGTCCAAGAGCAGCTGGTCAGCTGACCTCATGTCAACAGTAAACTATAATATTGGGGCTGTAAAAGCATAACGAGCCGTAGAGCCGTGTGAGGGTTAGTAAAGCTCTTACCATCAACGCTTTCTGTATTTTTGCTCTTTCTTTAAAGTTCTTCTTGTAAAAAAACATACTGTATGTTTGAAAATGGTCATTGTGCTTCCTGTGGATGATAAACTTGCCGTACTCCATCATAATGTGATTCCCTCTGGTCCTGGTTGTGCTGTATTAAGTTATTATTTTGAAAGTTTGTTTTAAGCTTTTAAGTTTGACGCATCCTGTCTTCTCCGTGGTGAAAAACAGACACAAGTCCAAACAACCCACCCACCATTCCCACTGTTGTCCCACTACCATATGTCTTCTCAGGCCTCAGGAGCAGAGGTGCAGAGGAGAAGCTGCTGTTTGCTGTGGAGAACAACTCCACGTTCCTGGAGTGTGAGGCCTCCTCTCCACAGGCCTCCATCAGCTGGTTCTTCCAGAGTCCAGGGTCTGAGCACCAAGAGGAGGTGAGGGCTTTACACACACACACACACACACACAAACACACACTATTAAAAAACTATATACAGTAAGCACATATTCACGCATGTTTTTGTATATGTTTTTTCCTATATGTATTGTTGGGACAGGGTGAAAGCAGCAGTCACAATTTTAGTGCCACAATTTGCTGAGATTAGCTTCAATAAATCATAAAGCTGGGGTACCTAACTTTTGTTTCATGAATAACAGGTTCTGTTGGTCCTCTCTGTTTCTTCTGTCTGAAGAAGCTGATCTAAAGATGTGACAGAGGTTGAAAATACATGCATGTGAAAACTACTGCTGCAACCAAACTGTTTTGAGAGCGAATACCGAGCCTGACTGAATTGACTACATAGTTAAATGTTGTGTGGCTTGAAATTTAGGTATCCCAGCTTTTTAGGTAGCTTGTATTTTCCTTGTGCTTAGTGTAGAGGTTATGGATAAACAAGAGGGATTGAAATACCCAGGTGAAAGCATCATGGTAACTAGGTGACAGCTAGAAACCACATTTATTATTTTGCAGACCCAAGCTTTTTTTATTACGCCTTTACTAGATACACCCCAAGTAACATATACTTTTACTCATTTTGTCACACTAAGCATTACTTGTAGCTAGCATGCTCCCAAACTTAACCCACATGGTAACCACAACTTAAAACTCCCAGGGCAGTCAATTTGACAGCTTTTAGTTAAAGAAACTCACTTACGTATGTATATTTTTTATCTTCCTAAGTTCTTGTCCATGGCGCTAGTTCTGTATTTGTTTTGGACTGGATCTGGACTGGTTCTAACCCGAATCAGAACCAGTGCAAGTTATCAGAGCCACACACTGATGTCAGCAGGTAGTGAGCAAAGGTAAACACTTATTAAATAACTTACTTGTAATACAACTGATGGAAAACTACCTTTTTTGGGGGAAATCTTTCAGAATTCCATTTATTGATTTGAATCTAAATGACTGCTCTGGGAGATCTAGTCGTTTCAGAATTCTGGGACTTCTAGTGTAAAGCTGTTACTTTTTTCTGGTGGGGGGTCCGACACGTGCTAGCCTCGTGAAAATGGTTTGGTCTCGCTTGGAATGCTCCGCAGTCTGCGTCCCTGAGATTTCATCCTATACTCTTTAGGCCGTGCAGCGATTCCCAACGTCTGTCTGACTGGGACCTCCAAAAGTGTAATTCTTTAGTTCAGTTATAAACAGAAAAAGTAGGTCTTCAATAGAATCTCCGAATTCTCAATAGAAGTGGGAGAGAGTTCCAGAATTTGAGAGCAGCTCTTCAGGTCTGAGGATCTCAGAGTTGTGGACACAGTTTGCAAAGATATATAAGTAGGAGGCCAGTTCAGAGATTTTGTCCAGTCCAGGGGTAACTTTTTCCATTTTTGATGACTTTCAAATATGTAAAAACCTGATAAGATCATGATTCTCCTAATTTTTGTTTTACATTTTTACCTGGGAATTATAAATCTTGATCAGAGGATGTATATTGTACGAGTTTATCTTCTGTTTTTGACCCAATATATTTTTCACCTCTTCGAAACACAATGTATCCCTTTTATATACGTTTAATAGAGCCACAAATATGAAATAATGGGCTGTTCGTCTTAATTCTATCCATCACAAATCACCCCCAGGGCCTGCTTACGGGAGCTTTTTCCACCTCCACACACGCATACAGACGTTATTGATATTTATGAGCGACCAGGGCTTTGTGGAACTTTAGTGAAGAAGGCGAGAAATGTCAGGAATCACAAAGCAGACGCACCCGGGGGAGAGTTTAAAGGTGAGGCCCAGACCACCGTCGGGCTGCAGACGAAATCTGTGGAGCAAAGTGCACTTTTAAGAGATTTCAATGCCTCAGACAGTAGCGCGATGACCGATGACATCATCATTATGCAAGAAGATTAATACACAACATTTTAAGTGTTGTTCCAGTTTCTCGTGAGTCCAATCATTATCTTTCAAATTTTATAGCTGATTTAAAAAAGAGGATACAAAGTTGCAATAGAACCAAACTGTTTTGAGATTGAGGGACTAGTCGACTAGTTACAGGGCTGTTATAATATTATTTTTACATATATTTTGATTTGAAATTTAGATAATCCAGCTTTAAGGCTATACAGCTGTATTCATACTTAGACATTTTACAGAGATAACTTCACATTGCTGAGATAATCCACCCCACCTTACAAAAAATACTGATTTGACAATTTAGATACTGTGGTGTGCCTTATATCTCAGAGGAAAAGTGGGGCAGAACCTGGTTAGTACTTGGATGGTAGACCTCGGGTGCAACTTTGGGGCGGCTGTAAAGTGCTAAACTATTATAGTGTGTGAATGTGCTTGAGTGTCATCAAAAGCACTATATCAGTGGTCTTCCTTTTTAAACGAAATGCTTTCAAATTAGACATTCAGAATCATGTCCATTACAACTCTGTGACCTTTTTGGGGGGGTGTCATCTTGTACTGCCTTGGTTCTGCACACTCTCTGATGTTTGGAAGTGCATACATTTTACAATCATTACAACTGTGGGCTCACATTTGCATGGGGATTGTAATTTCCTCTGACCAGCAGATGGCAGTATTTACTGTTTAAAGACATTGTGGGAGGCTTCATAGTTGCTGTTATAGGATCCTCCTGAGATTCCTCTGCTGAAGGATACTTGCTCCTTCTTCTCCTTTTTGTCCAGTTGTACCATGCCCTGGATGTTGGCCGACTGTTAAACTTGATGATGAGACTGTTTTACTTTGTCATTTCAAGTTTTAGATTGTGAAATATTATCTTAAATAAAAATATATATGATGAAATAATGATGAAGGGTTGTATCTGCAATCCACCAGTGATTCTCTATGCCACCACTAAAGGGAGGTGTGGCATTTGGTTTGAATATTACCAGCTGCAAACACAGCCCCTGAGAAATTTAATTATGGAAAATACTGTTTTAAAAGGCAAAATGTGATGGTGGTACAATGACTTCATACAATTACAGGATTAAAGGTAAAACACATCCCCTCTCACTTGGTCCCTCTCTCTTTCATCCAACTACATCTGACAAGTGTCACAGTGACGTGAACTCGGGGACCATTGACCCAGTCCGAGTTTACTAGTTGAATTTCAAAGGTTGAGTAGCATCGATTACCATTTTATCTGAGTTTTGCCAACACAAATCAGAGAACTAAAGCCATTGGTCCATAAGGGGCAGACAATGGGCCTCATTCACGAATAACTTCGTTAGAAACTTCTTAATTTATTCTCAAGTCGTTCTTAAGCAGTGGCGGAGCCAGACTTTTAAACAGAGGGTGGCAAGGTTTTTTAAGGGGTCCACATTTATACCATTCAGAAATTTTATTTCAGACAAAAACTGGCTAAACGATACATTTTAATCTTAATCTTATCTTTATTCTTTACATGAAGTGAACTGAGTGCACTTGGAAACAACAAAGCAAAAAAGTGCATTTAAACAGTAGTCTGAACAAGAGTGCTAAATGACATAATTCAAACATTGCATTGCATTGCATCTTTTAACACATTTAGGCAACTGTTTTACAGGACATCAGCAAAGCAAAATCCTGCGGTTATGGTGTAAAGCAACGAAGATTTTGACAAACTCATCCATATTTAGCTCCTTAGCCCTCCTTGACTCCACACTGAGGATACCAAGATGACTCAATCTATCATCTGCCATGGTCGTTCGGAGATGGTTTTTGATTAGTTTTAGGGCAGAGACACTTCTTTCACAAGCTGCAGTACTGACAGGTATCACAACAGATATCTTTGCAAGCCTGAAAAGCTCATGAAAAACTTATTTAAAAGGTTCCAAAAAGACATGGAAGTCCAATAGGGAAGATGGTCTCTCTAATCCATTTTTTTCTCTCCTCCCAAGAAGCCGCCTAGTTTGATGGACCTCATGCTTAAGATCCTCTACATCTGAATCAAAGGTTCTGCCAAATGCAAACAGGGGCTCTTCTTTCAAAAATGAAGGACTTATGGGGTCAAGAGACTGCACTCCATCCATAATCTCAGTTTTTTTTGAAAAACGCCTCGCTAACTCTGCCGATAGACAATTCAGCACCTGATAAAACACACTTCTGTTAAGCTGTTCATTGCTTTGACAGACGTCCCTTTGCCCAACAGTGCTCATGACAAGGGAGTCAGCCAACTTGGTAGTGGTTTTAGATTGCCTTTTGTTTTGTCCTTCTCTGGAAATGTTGCATTTCTGAACATGAGCTTCAATCTCCCTCCATAGGTCACCAAAATAAGTCTCATTTCTGTAACCTTTAAATGTGTCCGCTAGGGCATTCACAAGTTCTACGGCTCTTGAAAGATCAAGACTGCTTGATTGGAGCATGTCAGAAAAGATTTTTACATCACCAAACACTTGACAAAAAATAATCAACAGCCCAATAAACTGCATGTCAATCTGAGCCAGACTTTCCTTTCTCCACTACTCTTCTCAATAGAAATGTCCTGTAGAAGCCTCAAAACGGCAGGCAGCCTATCTTTCAGATTACGACACGCCATGTACCTGCAAGCCCACCTAACATCTGTTACAATGCGTATAGAATGCAAACTTGGCATTACTTTTAATATGGGCAGAAACACCAGAATGTTTCCCACTCATCACTGAGGCACCATCATACCCCTGACCTATTAGGTTGTCTCTATAGTCCAGACCATGCTTCTCCAAACAGCCAACTATCATGTTTGTGAGGCCTTCTGCATCCAAGCTTTGTGCTGACTGGAAATGCAAGAAGCTTTCATGTACAGCACCACTGTAATAGTATGGAACAACTAATGAAATCTGTTCTTTTTTTTGTAGGTCTTTTGTTTCATCTGCCAATACATTGAAAACCTCACTATATTTTACTTCAGCCACAATCTGCTTTTGCACCATATCTGCCAAAACTTCCAAGATCTCATTCTGGATTTGGTGACTAGTGTACTTGGCATTCCCATGTGCCTCAAGCTTTTTTTTATGAAGGGGTCATGGC